ACCAGTTTTTCCGACTTAAAACGCCCTGGAAAAATGGGAAATCCAAGGAAAACTGGATAAAAACGTAAACACGTCACTGCAAAATGGCCGCCTAACAGCGACGTTGCCGCATGACATTAATGACATTTTAAATGGTTTAAATAACGATTATAAAACAATAAATTTCCCAAATAAGGTTTTGGAAACTTGTTTGTAGTTTAATTTCAATGAAATAATGTTTAATTGTTAATTATATGTGAGTAAGACAAAGACAACAATAAAGTAGTAGGTATACATTTGTAAAAACCCCAAATGGGTAAGATAAAGTAGGATGCCATTTAAAACGCAAAATTATCAAATTACGATGAAAACCAAACAAAGCAAATATTTGATGAAGCAGTACCCACTTAAATATACTCGTGGACAAAATTATCGTACCACTGCTTATGGTGCTTATCTGCAGTGGTGGTGCGATAATTTTGTCCAGGAGTATATTTAAAAAATTGATAACAAAAGTACCGTTAAACTGGTAAGGGCCGAAATTCCTCAGTCCGGAACTAAAGGCCCGCCTACAAAGCGCTGGTATATGTGGATAAGGTTAGATACTCTAATAGACAAGAAATTAGTTTGCTACGTTGTCGTCATCACGTCACGCTTTTTATAGAACGGTCGTGATCCGTGATTTTTAGATATCAGTGATTAAATCACAATTCGTGATACATCGCTCATCATTACTTTTTTTTATGAATGCTGTACACATCTAAAGTGTTGGCAAAGGTGAGTAGAGAAAGCACTACTTAAATGCAAAAAAAAAAAACAGTGCCACGACCAAAATAAGTTTTTTTGGGAAAATTGTGTCGACTTTATTAAGAGCATTTTAAAAAAAATAATAAGAAACACAACACATAACTTCCAACCATTCAATTATTATTCTGGAATTTACAAGATTCAATACCAAAAATAACGCGAAAGTCACAAAGTGCAACCTGCAAAATTGTTCCTGATTGTCTAATATGTTCTTTTAAGCGGTCAATTTCTCGTACAATTTTTAAGACCAACTTAATTATTATCCGAATCACTGTACCTACGTTTGCTGTACAAAATCAAGTCTGGATAGACTTTCAAAATGCTGTACAATACAGCAAAATACTGTACGTATATGGTCACCCTAGCCTATAATGCGCATTCGTTTCCTGAAAATGAGGATTATTTTTGATCCAGTAGAATAAAAGCACGTTTAGTTTTGATTTGATGAAAAGTGAAATCCTGAACTAAACACAAACTACGTACAACCAAGAACCATAAAACGAGTGTTACATAGGTGACGCCATCTATTTACGAATCGGAAATTATTGTTATATCGAATTTAGATACAAAAATACAAATTAATTAGAACATCGACATTAGACTGTAGGCAGTAGGCTAAGACTCTTTGAGAATTTGGAAAAAAGAAAAAAATTAAAAATTGTACCAAATATGCCAACGTCGTACCAGCGTACTTTTTCAAAGCGAATGGTACCAAATTTGGTACAATTGTGGCAACACTGATTGCCAACGAAAGCTCAGACCGGGGGGTATTTGCCCAAGTATTTGCTCTCGAAGTAGTTGTTTCTGACTGGTCAACGAAGTTCAATAATGATATAGTTAGAAAAACTACATCAGAAATTCAGAAATCCGACCTACTGAAATCGAAAACAAGGTTTCATTCTCGTTATATTTCGGACAACATCAAAGGAAAATCTATTACACGATTAACAGAACTCTTGATGTTGCTAACTGTCCTCCAAAGAGTATTAAATAGAAACCCCTTGACATTAAAGGGCATTTGAGGGACCTGATCGAGCTACAGGTTAACGGAAGGTCAAGCCCAAAATTCAGTTAATAAAATCCCAAAATATAGTCATTAAAAAGGGCCCCTCTCACATCTTTTATAGCCCTCATTCGGTTTATTATTATCGACCAGGAACAAAAGGGCAGGGCGCTCTAATACAATAAAACTTGTTAGGATGACAGGTTTATAGATGTAATTGAATAATTTGATTTTCAAATTATAAACCCTTCAAAGGGTTTAGTTGAATTAATTATTTCTTACTATAAATTATATTTGGTTGGTTGTTATTCCGCTTAATTTTCACCACTCAACTCTTAACGACAAAAAAGTAAGTATAATTTTAGAGAAAGTTGAGTTTATTATCCTCTCTATATCTTCTTTTATACAAATCTGGTGCTGCGATTTTGAATAATAAACTCTTTCTTTTATCCTCCATCACAAAAAAAAAGGCCGATTCCACAAAGCGCAAATCGGCACAAAGGTCCCTTTGTTTTAACTCACAATGAGCCTTTTTAATTCAGCTACAATATTTATCACTCTATTTCGTGTCTTCAAAGGATTTCGCATTCCTGATTAGACCATAATATATAATAAGACTTTGTTTGTATGCCAATTTCCTCCCGAACAATTAAAACATAGCTTCGATTTAATTTATACGGTCGCAGGACCTTTTCACGAGGGGTAGCATTTGTATTTGTTCCGTAATTCCAGAAATTCCCAGATACCGTTCGACGTTGTCCAAATTCCAAAAGACCGATATCCTGCCAACCCTTCACGCATAATTTTAAGGCTGCTGCCAGAGATAATACGGTCGGGTTGCTCGATGATTGGGTTACTCAGCTATGCGGAAAAATGATGACATAACTTACAAGAGGTTTGCTTGGGTAAGCAATAATGAAAAGAGGGGTTTTTGTCTTGTAAACAGTTTCATTATATGAATTAGGAATTTCGAATATGAATCTCGATTGTGTTGAGAGTTGCTTAGAAAATAAGTTCAGGAGCTGCTTATTTCAGTTTGTCAAAAAAATCGTTGCAAATTCTGCATGTTGGACGCTGTCCGAAGACATTCTTATTTCGATATCAAAAATTATTCTTTAGCAAGTTGCTGTATATCAAATATTAACATGCATTGGAGGAAAATGCCTTAGAATTGTGGCCGCATTCCTAGATTGAAATAAATAGGGAATTTTGGTTTGCACAGAACATTTGTCTTTGAGTTTCCATTAGTCGAAACCAAACCTCAAATCACCTACGAATGAAACATTTTAGAACCTTTCCACCCTCCAATTTTCCCCTAAAGCAAGATACACAAAATAGTGTGGCCAATAAGAGTGTCAGGCTAGCTACTTGCCGGTGAGTGGTCGTGCAAGTTCTTAATGTATGGATAAGAAAAAAAAAGGGCGGAATGAAAATCTCTTTACACTCTCAAAACGTTTAAGTATCCGGCCACGTAATACTTTCTACTTTACTTTCTGGATCCTACAAGGAACCGAATCATTATAAACTTCATTAATAAAAAAACTTGGTCATTGGGTATCATCAAGTGTCAATTAAACATTAGCTAGGGGAAGTCAATTAAACAGAAAAATAATCAAATGTACGTATATTACGATTTCTGGAAATATGGAACAATAAAACATTCAGTGTTCCTGAGACTCTAGAAATGACTATGCTTATCGATATCACGCCTAGAATAGATGTTAAGTAATGCTTAAATTACCTATTATGGAATGCCTATATTCAATAATTCTTCCGGTAGCTTTTGTGATCACAATTGGCTTACACAATATTTATGTAAACACTTACACACTTCTCAGTATGGGCGTTTAAGATATGAAACTCTACTCTAGGCGCAAAATATTATGGCATAGAGTCCCCAAAGATTAGCTATAAGTTCCAAGGAAGTAAACAAACAATTTTGCGGACCTCAATAGGTTCAAAGTTATAAAATTATGAGGACTCAGGAACCCGCAAATATGTTGGATATTTTCTAAATTTTACACAATCTTGATAACACACTATTAAAAAAATAAAGGTCCGATAGTAACGTAATATTATTCCCAAAGTAGGTTCCCCAAAGACGTTGATACACTTATCTGGCAATCTGGAGAATCCACAGATTGTACTAACGTCCGGATTGTATAATAGTTTTTAAAGGTATAACCACGTACACTCTTGGTACAACCTTGCTACCCTAAAATGTGACATAAAAACCCCAATGAAATATAGCTATAGAAAACTACGATTTTCTATGAATTATTGGGCAATAAAAAGATGTCCTGAGAAATATTTTGAAGAGCAGAATATTTGAATTCAATTTGCCAAAATTATTGCACGACCTTCATTGATTTTTCGTTCAAATAAAAAACGCCAATTAAGTACTGCTACTTACACACTGCGATGTAAAGTGTGGATTTTCAGCTTCAATATTAGAAGTTTGTCGATTTTCGATGATCTTCCAATTTTCTATAGCAAAAGAAAACACGTCACAAATAAGCCCCAACACTTAGCAATATACTAAGAAAAGGTGATTGAAAAAAATAGGAAAAACTCACCAATAGCATTGAGTAATTTTCAGCTTTGAGGCGATGAGTGAGTACAACAACTCCACAAGAGAACCAAATTCACTCTAGCACCCTGAGTGAATTTAGTTTGGATAATGGATATTGATCCCTTCAAAAGGAACGTGCTACAACCTGACGTCTTTTCAAAATTTCCATTAATAGCTGTGATCGGATCAAAAACCAAATGACCACTAAATCACCACAAAGTCATACAATTATGATACTTATCTACATTATTTATGCAGAATCCTAAAATAATCGAAACCGTTACAACCTCAAATAGCCTTTGTGCAACAATAACGAAAGAATCGTATCCCAACAAATTGTGTAAGTCATCAGGAAGAACGAACAAGGAAACCTAAAATCCAGGCAAGATAATTTATGTACAGCTTCTCAAAAAAAAATTATCCCCAAGTGTTTTTCCTTGTTCCTGATGAAAAAATATTATACGTGTCAACAATAACAAAACAAACGAACCCGATGATGAGACGGATCAGAAACGCAAAAAGGACGCCATCCCGAATCGATGCCGGAGCTCCTGGAATCCGATATGCGCCGAATCGTCGCACCTGTGTGTGTGTCGGTCCGATGGCGCGTTTCTCGTTTACTAACGTCGCGACGCTGCACGACGACGGACGCACCCCACCGCACTTCACAATTTGCGTTGTTAAAAACGCGCGACGTAAAAGAGAAGCCCTCGCGTCACTCTCAAACACATACTTGTTCACTCTTGTGTTGTTTTCGCTGAACTACTTGTTTGATCGTATTTGTTGCGTTAGAATTTTTTTTTTGCAGAAGTGATTGTGACCAAAGTTTTAGGTAAGAATTGTATGTATACTTTTGTCCAGTTGTAAAGTTTGTTTGAAGTAAACAAATGTATAAAAATTGAGAAGAAGTTTCTTCTTACGCACTTCTCAACGTTTTTCTCAGATAATACTTCTGAAGTGAGAGATGGCAATTAGAATTTTTGAAAATTATAATAATTATTTGCCTTATGAGAAATCAACATTATCTTGACAAATTTTATGTAATATAGAACAAATTTTCCATCTTTCCTAGATTATACTATGCTAAAATTTTCCTGGAAAGTCAACGTTTCGGCACCAATTTGCACCTTCATGTTCCTATTGTATTTTTTAAGATATCTAATACTTTTTACCAAGAGTTTGGCACAGTTTGGCACAGATTTGCGAAATATCTCCTTTTTAATATTACCATCTTTACGTTTATTTTTATTTAAAAACCTTCATAAAAGCATTCAAAAACTAAAATCTCTTTGAATATTTCGGTTCTACTATTTTATTTATAAAGGATTTTTGCGAAGAAAAATTAAGATATCTGTTAAAATAAAATGTTTAAATTTCCGCTACTCTAAACTCTAAAGAGAATTATCTGCTACGTAGACATTTCCGGATAGTTACAGTTTCTTGAACATTATAATGAAATAAAACATGAATCGTTGCAGAACATCTTAGAGATAATTATTATCGAATTATCCATTGTAAATTATCAATGCACATTTTGCCAAGCCAAAAGTGAACACGATGTCTAAAACTGATCGATTGTTTCCATCAGAATACATTAATGTAGAAAATTTAATACAAATATTTAAACAAAATAAGAAACAAATTACAGTACACGTTTCAATGACACGCAACAAAGCCATAATAAAGCATTATTTTGCTTGAATCGTTTTTGAAACAAACAAGTAAAATCCGTAATGGAATAATGTAAAACTAATGGAGTGAAAAATTGTATTTTAAACTGGCCAACAGATGTTCGAGAGAAGTGATTATTTAAAAAAAAAAATAAAAACCATTAATCAACACAGAGTGGTGGAAAAGTTTATTATAAATGACAAGCGGGATAAATTGAAATTTTAATGTATTACCGATAGCAGTTTTTGTGTGACTTTCTATCATAACGAAAAAAACTCCTCAAGAGTTTTTCATGCCAACGAAAGAAAATTCAATTTAAAATCTCGCGAGTTAAATACAATCGCTGCGAGATTACGAACATGTTTATTTTTCTCGAAGAAATTTTTTCACGCACCATAAATCCATTATTATCTCGGAAATTGTCACGTCACATTATTCCTACAGCAGAGGAAAATTACCATTATATTAGTAAAACTAACAAACCGGAATAATTTAGTCAATATAAACGGGGTAAAAGCTCAAACTTTAGTCCCTATAGTTAGAAGTGATGTTGAACTTTTAGCGCCTGGCAGCAGATTGGCTCCGATCCAACGCTAGTTTATGAACTCTACAACCGATAATTATTATTGAGAACCAAGATTATGTTGATGAACTTTTACTGTTGGTAGAAGGTTCGTTTCAGTACTTGTATTTTTGTTCTCGGTTAACAAATTTGAATTTTGAATCTGCTAACCACCATAATGCACAAACCTATTTTACCAGCCCCTCATTTTTGGATTCCAACGGTTTTTAAATTGATTTACTGTTGGTTGCACTAATTGTTTCATGACTAAGTCTATTCCACTGATAAACCACTCTGTTTGTCAAGAAATTTCTTCTTGGTAACTTCTTATATATTTCCTTCTCAAGTTTATGATTACATCCTCTAGTATTGGTGGCGTTAGTGGCGAGGCAGAAGTTAATGTCACATGCATAGTGACCATTCCGTATTTTGTAAGTTTCAATAAGTTTTCCCCCCGTTCTTCTGTCTTTTAATGTAGTTAGCTGTAGTTAATTAAGGCGGCTCTCGTAGGGTAACTCTTTGAGTTTATTAGGTTTCCTTGTAATACAGCGCTGTACTTTCTCAATCAGTTCAATGTCTTTGATGTAATATGGGTTCCAGATAAAATTTGCGTATTCGAGCTTTAGTCTTACGTAAGTTTTGTAGAGCATTAGAACCATTTCTTTAGATAGATTTTTGAATGAGGTAGATTGGTGAATTGGCTTTTTTTGTCATTTCAGTGATGTGCTGTTTCCATTTCAAGTCTGATGTGATTGTTATTCCTATAGGTCTTGGTGGCACGAAAGTTTTTCATTGACGTTTGTTGGACGAGGTTATCATGTTCACGGTTATTCCAGTCGATATGTAGAACTGTGCACTTGAGGTGAGTCAATAGCATTTTCCAATACATTGTCCACTCTTAGATAATGTTCATGTCTTCCTGGAGGTCTGCAAACTGTAGTAATAGATTGCAGAATGGGCTTATGTTATCTGCAAACGATTCATATTCGGTGTTCAGTTTTTTTGTAAACGTCACACAAATACGCCAAGAAAAGCAAAGGTTCCAAGATTGAGCCTTGTGGTAAGCCGTTGTGTACAGAGTATTCACCTGAGAGTGATATCCCTGTCCTAACCTACTGAAAGGTACGTCCAATAAGGAATTCCTTGAGAAGTCGAAGTAAATCGCCCCTAACTCCAAAATGAGTTTGTATAATAAGTATATTGTTGGTATCTTATCAAATGCTTTTTCAAAGTCAAGGAAAACTACATCAACTGGATCATTCTCATCATCCGCCTTTGTCCACATATTGAGTCTGGTAACGAGATTCGTAAAAGTAGAGTTTTTGGAGAGAAAATCTATGTTGTCTGCGTGGTACAATATGAGCTTCAAGGAAAAAGCTTGCGAGTTCCCAAGCAATGATTTACCAAACATTTACATAAGGCGCTGGTCAGGGTGACTGGTCTGTAGTTTTCTACTAGCTTTTTGTTACCCGTTTTGAATATAAGTATAAGTATAGAACTAAAGTATAGTATAATATAGTATAGTAAGTATAGATTTTGTACTTTCGAATATGGCTTTATCTGTTGTTGATGGATCGGATAGCCCACTGATCAGGGATGACCCCTATCATCCATCTTTGATAATTAATGTTGTTTTTAATGAAATAAAAAAAGAAACACAAATTAAAAAAACATATACATACAACTATTCGAAGGGTAATTTTCTATTGCTGAATGAAATGCTGAAACAGTGTAGCTGGTCCGATTTACTCGCAGCAAGAGAAGTCAACTCTGCAGTAGGTCAATTCTATGAGAATAATTACAGATGTATAAGGCAATTCAATCCATCTGTCAAAAAGGAAAATTCAATGTGGCGTGGCAGCCAAGCAAGTTTGTTTTGAATATGTTTTTATGCGTATTTTAAATTATTTTGCATACAGTTTTGCTTACAACTTTGATTTTCATTATTTAATAAAATATTTGTTGACTAGGTACCTAAACTATTAATTCGGGCAGAAACTAGATATTTTTTTGTGTTTTTTGGCCCATGTGTGGCCGCCACGCCATCTTGAATGTCACGTGGTTTGAATTGCCTAATTGATGCATCTATTCCAAAGGTACAGGTGAAAGTGAGAGAGGTCACAAGCCGAGCCAAGTTTCCAGTTTGGTTTTCCACAAATTTAATTTATAAAGTAAAGAGAAAAAACCGGTTGCACCGTTGTGTAATTAGAGGTAGTGCCAACAATGATGAACATCTAGAGTATGTTTTCTTGAGGCGATCCGATCCATCAGAACTCAAAGCACAGCTGAGTATGTCTTACAAGAGATCGCTGGGAAGTAACATTAATAATGACTCCCGCAGGTTTTGGGCGTTTGTCTAGTCTAGAAAAAATCAGTGGAATGCCAGCGGAAATGAGGTTAGGTGAGGAGAACTTCAGTGATCCAGCAGGCATAGCAAATACATTTGCCGATTACTTTGGGTCTGTGTATGGGACATCCGACTGCTCTGGTTCGGCAATTTCTATTTTTCAGAGATAACTGAAACAGAGGTAAGAAAGAGCATAAGGGATTTAAAATCTATGAGGTCCACGGGCGTTGTTGAAATTCCCTCTTATATTTATAAGGGCTGTGTGAATTTCTTATTGAAGCCTTTGGTATATATTTTTAACTTGGCCATTAAACAAGAGTGTTTTCCAACCGACTTGAAAACAGCAATAGTTTCCCCTATTCATAAAAGCGGGGAAAAAAAATACATCGAAAATTACCGTCCTATAAGTCTATTAAATACATTATCAAAATTTTTTGAATGTATCTTTTATAGTGATATCTATGAACATGTTAAACAGAGAATAACAATAAATCAACATGGATTTGTTTATTTATTGTTATTTGAGTTTATTTACAAAGCATGCATCGCAAGCAATAGAGAACAAAGAGCAGTTGAATGTCATATATACGGACTGTGCTAAGGCTTTTGATAGGGTAAACCACTGCAGGCTTCTGGGCAAGCTGATCGATTTTGATTTTTTACGGAGTGCATTTAGTCTAATGAAATCACACTTAGAAGGTAGGCAACAGATAGTCAAAGTGGGGCGGTCTAGATCTGGCCAATACTCTGCTATATCGGGCGTACCCCAAGGAAGCAACTTGGGCCCCCTCCTTTTCATATTATTTATTAATGATCTCCCCATGTGTGTTCAAACATCTACCAGTTTGCTTTACGCAGATGACTTTAAATTATTTAAACAAATATCTAATGAGAATGACTGCATAAAATTACAGAAAGATCTTGACTCTGTCGTGCAGTGGTTTGATGAGAACAAGATGTTTCTCAATGTTAAAAAATATGGTCGTGTCTTTTACTCGCAAAGTAAATTATTTCATTGAGGATTATTACATAAATGGTAATAAGATAGAAAGAAAAAGTAAAGTGAAGTATCTCGGCGTCAACTTTGACATGAATTTGAAATTCAACCAACATTACAACTGCATAACCAGTAAGACCTTTCGAGCACTGGGATTTCTAATACGTAACAGTGATGATTTTCAGATTAATACTGTTGTAGGATTATACAATGCACTTGTGAGGCCCCATGCATCTGCGGTATGGTCACCAACAG